TTTTCTTTATCTTTGTCCGGTACTGCTTTTGCATGGTTTACTTCTTTACCGGTAAATTCTATTTTTTCCTGGGCTCAATTAGAACAAAAATTTCATGATTATTTCCACACTAGTAAGACTGAGCTTAGGTTGTCTGATTTAACATCGGTTAGGCACAAATACAATGAATCTGTTGTTGATTATATTGAAAGGTTTAGAGATGTTAAAAACCGATGTTTCAATTTGAAAATAACTGACAAAGATTTGGCCAACATTGCATATGATGGATTGCTTGATTCTATTAAAGAGAGGTTGAATGGCCAAATATTTCTTAATGTTGATCATGTGTCATGAAGCTCTGGCTCAGGAAAGCCGAGTGGATAATAATAACTTAAATGCTAGTTTAGATGATAGTGCAATATCATGTGTAGCCGAACCAAATGACGGTTCGGATTGTGTTAATAATTTGTGCAATGATGCCATAGCAATTATAGCCGAACCAAATGTTGGTTCGGATTGTCTTACTAGCTTGGATGATAATGCAACAACCATTATAGCCGAACCAAGTGTTGGTTCGGATTGTGTTACTAATTTAGACAATAATGGAATAGCCGAACCAAGCGATGGTTCGGATTGCGTTGCTAGTTTAGAGAATAGCATCATTGAAAATACAGCCGAACTAAGTGATAGTTCGGATTATATTACAAGCGAAAATGAAATAGTATTGTCACCTAAGACCGAATCAAAAATCGGTCATGTGGATGTTGGAAAAGATGATCACAATGTCTTGCGGGATAGTGGTGAAATAGAATCCAAAGTAGCTATGCATACATATCAAAGACCGTATCCTGAACACGTAGATTCGGTCCCATACCCGCAAGGATTTGAGGTGCCCAACTTCACGAAATTCAAAGGTGAGAATGCTATGACTACAATGGAGCATATCGGTCGCTTTATTGATCAATGTGGTAAGGCCGGTAGTGATGATTTGCTTGAGTTGAAGTTGTTTCCCCTTTCTTTGACAAACTTTGCATCTACATGGTATAGTTTGCTTGCTCCTAGTTCAATTTCTACATGGTCACAAATGGAGTATGAGTTTCATGATTATTTCAGAGATGTAAGCTTGATGGAGCAAAGACCGAATGATACTTCATTGGTCACTTGTGAAACTATTTCGGTTACACCTATGCCTAAGACCGGAATTGTTAATAATTCTCTCCCTACTAGTCCTATTGATGTTGACAAAAAGAAAGGGAAAAGTGTTGTTATTGGAGATCTTCGGCCCAAGAATAGGATCAATAATGCAAAGGCCGAAGATCATAAGGTTACAAAAGATGAGTCATCTAGTTCCCAAAAGACCAAAAGCCGAAGCTCACTTTTGAGATGCTTATGGCTAAGTACAAAAAAGGATTAGCCGGTCAATGATTTGATTACCAAACTAGTAATTCAAAAAGACCAAGATCATCTCGTAGGAAGAGATTTGGTCAAACATCAAAGCAATCGGGGTCATCAACTATACCAACTCCATATAAACCTCCGGTTGTGATGCCATGGTATCCATATCCAATGTCACTATATGGTTATCCTTTTATGTATTATATGCCATGGATGCCTCAACCACCTATGTCGTGTCATCAAGGATGGAGGCAATCACCTAGGACGGTATCAAGTCATTCTAACTCAAGACAAGACCGTTTCCACGAAAGAATCGGTCCGGTAGATCAAAGGTGAAAAAGGTGAAGAAGGTGTAGGTGAGAAAAGAAGCCAAAGCTCCGGAGGTCGTTGTTGTCAAGGAGTCTCAAGATGTTCATGTACCTACTGGAGATGCCGTGGAAACCATGCAAGCAAAGGAGATCGAAGCTGACGCCGTGACTGTCAACATTGGTGGTCTAACCGAGACAGCTGGCCGGTCTAACCGCTAGTCTACGGCCGGTCTGACCAACCCTCCTGGCCGGTCTGACCGACGGCTTGCAGCCGGTCTGACTGGGCCCAGAGGCCGATCAGACCGAGGGGCATTAAAGGTGAGCGGGAAAATTGAGAGCAACACAGGAGCTTCTACTTCGACCAAAAATATTAAGAATCATTATTTAGCTCCTGGAAAACAATCACAGCCGAAGTGGATACCTTCTGGCTTATCTCGCTCTCAAAAGAGGAGGCTACAACGTCTTCGGGCCATATGTAAAAAAGAAAAAGAGGCCGAAGATGTGGAGAACAAAACATGTAATAATTTAGAGCCTCGAACAGCACCTAGCCAAGTGTGGAGACCCAAAGAGGTAAAACTTAAGAGATCGGTAATTTCCCATAGTAGAGATAAATCCAATTTGATGAGAGAAGAATCATCGGTCATTAGAGATAAGTATCCTTCACATGATGCTATGGGTGTTAGTGCGGTATCCACCTTGCCTTCGAAATCGCGCAATCTAGAAAACCGATTTTGCTCGGGGGGCAAGACATTAATATGCTCGTGAAGAAACCAAGAGAAGATGAACGGCGATGGATACAACATCACATCTTTGAGCCGCCGTTTGTTGGATGCTAAGGCAAGGTATGGGTTTGTTGTGTTCAACATTATATTATATGCCTATGCCATGATAGAACATTGCTTGCTATCTAGCACTTGTGTGTTTTTGCTTATCAAATTGATATTATACATACATGTTGCAAATGCTAGTTCTAAGTAGTGGAATTGGTAAGTTGGCATATAATTTGTTTGAAGTATGATTTGGCTCATGAGTCTTCGATATTTATTTAAAGCCAAATTGTATGTGTTTTTATGGATCATCATATAAGATATAGATTTTATAATTATTGCACCATAAAAGTTTTGCTTATTAGTAATTCGGCTAATGCCAATGGTCAATGTGATGATTTATTCTAGAGTTGTTTTCTTTAAAAACATTGGCATTGTTAATATTTTGCATACATGCTCAAGCCGATTACTTACATTTGTGGTTTATTGGAATTCATGTGTGTGAGGCGTATGACTTTGGTGATTCATTATTGATCATACTTCAATTAGCTAAGTGTTTTGATGCCATGATGATTATTGTTTCAAAAGCCATTTGAATTAGTATTCATCTAGACATGTTAGTTGGATGTTATAGTTTTTCATATGTCTAGAGAGAAGGAATTTTGGGCCAATAATTTGATACACCAAGCATCTGGCTATTATGTGAAGAAAAATTATATACTAAAGGCCGATGCTTGATTTCAAAAGTTTGGACAAAATTGGCAAAGTCATAGACCAGGGGCGGTCTGACCGGCATTGCACGGCCGATCTGACCGGTGGTACCGACGGTCTGACCAGCTTTGCATGGCCGGTCTGACCGGGTAGACAGGGCGGTCTGACCGGCTTTGCATAGCCGGTCTGACCGATCTCGGGCAGAGAGCTGGGGGGCACTTTACAATTGATTCAAAGGCCGAATTAATTTTAAATTCGGATATTTGTGCCCATGAGTTAGAAATAGCTTGGAGAATTCCTTTGATTAGATATTTTAAAAATCCTAAACTTAAGGTTGATCGGAAGATTCGGCGGCAAGCGTTCAAATATTATATCGCCAAAAAATAGATGAAGTATTACTTAGATAATGATCAATCTAAAGTTGCTAAGAGAGTAGTACATGAAGTGATTTGTGAAATTCATCAATCGGCCCGGAAGATAAATTGGTTGCTTAGGAGAGTGGGGTTTCATTGGCCGAAAATAATTTGATGATTGTTTCAAATGCTATAGAGGGAGTGAAGCTTGTTAACGGATCAGCAATGTTCAATTAGCGCCTACCGCTGTGTTGAATCCTATCATTAAACTATGGCCGTTCCGAGGTTGGGCTTTGGATTTCATTGGTCAAATTTATCCTTCGTCATCAAAAGGGCATTGGTTCGTGCTAGTTGCAAAGGATTACTTCACTAAGTGGGCCGAAGCTGTGCCGCTTGAGAATATTACTTGTACGGAGGTAATTGACTTTATTTCGAAGCATATTGTTCATAAGTTCGGTATTCCTCAAACGTTAAAGGAGCTTCTTTTATGTCCAAGGAAGTGAGAAGTTTTGCCGAATCTTATGATATTAAGTTGTTGAGTTCTTACGCTCAGGCTAATGGATAAGCCGAGTTGAGTAATAAACATTGTTGAAATTGCCGTTTTGCCAGTTGAGGTAAATCTTGGCTCTCTTTGGTATTTCAAGCACGACGACTTGTTGGTTGAAGATTACAAGACCTTGATGGGAAGCAATTTTGAAGACGTTATCGACAAGCGTTTGAAGACTTTGAAGGAGATGAAGACACTTCAAGACGGTGTTTTTAGAGAGCAATTAATGGGAAATACTTGAATAAGTACTTCCCGAGCATTTGGCAAGATGCTTAGGTAGTCCTATGGCCGGTAATTGGATTATCGTCCTGAGATAACATGTTCTATACTTTTAGGTTCACGTATGTTCACCAAAAAGGTAGGGGGGCATGTGTTTACACTCAAATTTGGCACCTATGGATGAAATAGGGGAAAATTGCCAAAGTTTGGAAAGTGACGGGTTTCCTTCACAGGGCCGGTTAGACCGCAGGTGTGTGGGCGGTCTGACCGACTAGTAGGGCCGGTCTGACCGCAGGTATGTGGGCGGTCAGACCGGCAGGATCCGAGTCCGAGTCTGTTTTCATCGGGTCTCGGGTTTCCTTGCTCGGGAAGGCATGTTTCGTGTTTCCTTTAGTATCTATCCCAAGTTGGACGTGGAGAAGGGCCTGTAGAGGGCAAGACCAACCCCTATTGAAGGGACAAGGCCGGTTCATTGTAAAACCCCTGAATACAATCTATTTGAATCGTTCTTTTACTGTGTTTTCTATTTTACCCTAGTTTAGTCCATCTTTGTCGGTTTGTGCCGTAAACCGTCTGCCGCCGCTGCGAGAGTGCGACACCTCTTTGTAGGTTTGTCCTGAAAACCTTCCGTTTTGCTCACGAGACGGGTAGTTATTCTCATATCGATCTAAATCGGCCTAGAGGCTGATTTTGATCTCTAAATCGGCTCCGCTAGCCGGTTTAGCTTTTCTTTTTGCAAAATCCATCTTGATTTGGCTCTTTGGCTAGATCGAGGTGGTTGGCGACTCCATATCACCGCAAGGCGTTTAGTGTTGCGATCGTGCTTGTGGACTTGTCACAACAAGTTGCCAACAGGATCCACATGTCAGCGTCCTCTCTTCTCCTCTTTTCTTTTCTTTCTTCTTCTCTTTTATTTAATTTGTTCTCTTCTCTTCTCTTCTTCCCCCCGAACCTGAGAGGACGGCGGGCGGAGCAGGCCACAGGCGGGCGGCGACGGGCGAGCGCGGAGGGAGACAAGGTCGCTGCTGCCGCTCGGAGGGAGGCGAGGTGGTGGTAGTAGTTGGCTAGTTGCTGCAGTAACCGCCGTTGGAGTACACGATCACTGGCACGTCGTGCCACTCGTCGCACGGCGGCGCCTCGTCAACAGTCACCAGTCGCAACGTCACCTCCGTGATGGCAGGCATCACGCGGGACTCGCCCTTGTGGGTGTACGGCTGGATCTTCCACCTCGTCGCGTTCGCGTCCAAGCCCGTCGTGTTCACGCCGCTGCGGCCGGAGATGGAGGCGAGGCGAGGCGCCACCAGGAATACCTCCAACTCGCGGCCGAGGATGCGGATGGCGCCCTCCATCTCGCACACGTCGGATTTATTGTCACTGAAGTCACATCACAGGTGAGGCTCCGGGATGAACTCATCTGCATCAATAATTTCATCGAACAAAAACAAAATCAGAATCTTTTCTCCAAAAAAGACTCAGAATCAACTACCTGTGGTTAGCATCACCATGTACTGATCAAGGGTTGGTGAGTAAATCATCAAGAACTGGATTGCCACGATGAGCAGGAGCAGAGAAGGGTCGCAGAAGGCGCAGAAAGAGCCCTTGCTTTTCTTGTTCCCCACAGCTGCCTTCATGTCTGAAACAGCAACTACTCACACACCAGGGACAAGAACAGAACCGCCGCATCCTGACCTTCCTCTACGCCATGCCATTCTCCCCCCCAAGGGCCGCCGCAGTGTCACACCGCCCCTTCGCCGCCCTCCCCCTCGCTGGCGGCGGCGCCATCGGTGGCTGCCCGCTCCTCTCCGACTTCGGGCGGCGGGCAAAGACCGACAGCGACAGCGAGCTCCGCTTCTGCTCCCACGTGTGGTGCGGCCTGAGTAAGACCCGTCGGCACGAGTTCCGGCACGGTGGCACGCCGCAGCGCTCGCTCGCCACGCGCTCGCTTGCCACTCGCGCTCGCCGCCGCACTCGCCAGCGGCCGCTCCGCCCGCCGCCCCCTCTCTCTCAGGCTCCCTCTGCCGCCGGCGGCCTCCGGAGAGGAGTAGAAAAGAGGAGAAAGAAAAGAGAAAAGAAAAGGAAAAAGTAGTGTGGTCCCACATTTTTTTCTTCTCACTTACATATGGGCCCCATAATTTTTTTTAATTATTTTTGCTGACTAGGATGCCACGTCAGCGAAACCAAAGATCCATACTGTCCTAGGACCTTTTTTGCACGGTTTCGTTAAATTTAGGGGTATATATTTCTGGTTTTGGGATCAAGGGATCTTAAAAAATCTCGCTGTTAAGTTGAGGGACCTCCGGTGATCTTATTCCTTCTTTGCATGTGGTACCGTTCATTATGGGCCGGAGCGTGCTGGCATACACGATAAGGCCTCATTTGTATGGTCCTCCATCTCACACCATCAGTATTGAGGCCCATACTAACAAGGAAGCATCCATGTGTCATGAGTTCTCGCCGTCTCTAATGCGAGTTTGGGTAAATTGGGCTGGGATGACTAGCAGGAGAAAAAGATAAAAGCTCAGATAAATTCGAATCACAATTACAAATGTATAATCACTACCGTATCAGTCCAAATCATGATCCCAAGAATAGAAGAATTGAAGGCTTCTCAGCGAGTACTGTGCTCCCTCGGTAGTTTAAATTGGGCCGGAATGACAAACAGGAGAAAAAAAAGATAAAGATCTGACAAACTCGAAACGTAATTGTAAAGGCAATCACTACTATATCAGCCCAAATCATGATCTCAATAATAGGAGAATTGAAGGCTTCTGAAGGGGTAGTGTGTTCCCTTTATAGTTTAAATTTGAACAACACGGTAGCTATATTTTGAGATACATGATGAGTTTTGGTTTGTACTCTATACCTATTACAAGAGAATTACACTTGGAATATAACGGCTATCAAATAACTTCTGTAAAATACTATAACTAGTACAATAAATATATCCTAATATGAATTTACTATCGCTATTTTTCATCATTACCGAATGAGAAAATCCAAGACATACCATTGACAAGCATCCAATTTTAAGAAATAATATCGATAAGTATAAATTCTATGAAATGTCAGTGTATAAGCGACTTTGTTCCATAAATATCATCGCCGTTAGGGTTCGGCCCACTCTACCCCATTAAATGCATTGTTTATCCTATACCACTTAATTAACGAAGGAGTTGCTAACGGAAACCTAACGGTGATGGTATTTTTGGAACAAAGTCACATGTACAATAGTATTTCAATCAGTGTTCGCCTTTACCATGGTCTACACGGTCTAGTCCACGTTTAACCGTTAGACAATGTGTTATCGTCTAGTTTAGAGACTAAACCGTGAATTAGACTGTTTGACCATCTAGATGGTTAAAGATAGTACTAGATTGTCTAGACCATAAAATTAACTACCATTTAAATTATGGTATAGGCAATGGACCAATGTATTTTTTGTGCGTCATGAACTAAAACCTCGTCCAAGGTCCATATGGCCTAGGGTTTTGACATTATTCCAAACCCCTCTCCTCTGCACTAAACCTTGCACTTCCATGAAGTCGCATGCCTCTCCTCTACTAGTCGCTGCCGTGGATCTTGCTTCCCCATCTCTCCAGCCTATGGCTCTATGCGAGTGGTTCCGCACATCACAGCCGCTAGTTCTCCAATATTATATGAAGCATGACAAGTGTATTTACATGTGTGCCAAAAAAATATGCTAATGGTACATTTTTTTATATAGTCTAGAATCTAAACCATGGGTCATCATCTGTCTAAGCGTCTAGCAACATTATATTTTATAGAACTCACACTGATCAATAGCATATTTAATTTCTTATAATTGAACACTTGTAAATAGCATTTCTCGAATTTTCTTATTATTACGGAAGCACCGTATATATATCTCATCTCATAGCAAATTAACACTGGCAACTCGCGACTGCCCTCCCCATGCTTATCCAGAACAAAACGCGGTTTAGAGCATCAATGATTAGCACCCAAAATATCGACTGTAAGTACAGATTAAAAGGATTCTGGCTAGCTAAGCTAGGGCACTAGGCTAAAAGCTATTAGTGAAAGCTTAACAAGAAATGCATGGAATTTCGCCGCATCTAAACCAACAAAAGAGAGAGCTAGCCCAGCTGCCTGCCTGCCTAATCTTATTAATCTTTCTTTTGGTGGATCGTCGCATCATTTGACATCACTAATGCTATATATACACCGGATCTGGTTCTCTGCCTGGAGGAGGAAGCATCATTAGTGGATATATGATTCACCAAACCTCTCGCTCACACCTCGCCGGCGATTAGTAGTGCTCCTCGACGTCATCGTGCAACTCAGGTAGAGTAGATCCCATTTGTCTCCTCTCCTCCTTTCTCAAGATGCCAAATTATGGGGCATGAACGTACTGTGCCGTGCTTTGCAGCTTGCAAGGTTAGGTGCAAGTGCAACCAATTCTCTGCATGCATGTTAAATTGAAGTTACTGTGCAGTGTAATTAATTACAGTGTTCAGAGAAAAGTTAATGATATCAAATCTGGTGCAATATTCTCCCTGACATCATCTCATCCTAACAGTTCTTCCACTCTCTGAGAAATGACATCCTTTGTTGCTACGGTTGCCAATCCTGGAAAAGTTAAGTCGCTCTACAATGGCTTATTTTAAGATCAAGATGATGCATCTTGCAAAGGAGCCATTAGTTAAAGGTTGTAGGGAAGTATAGTACATGATCTGATGGTGATACTCTCAAGTGATAAGAATGATTAGATAATTGAGTAGGCCCTACCATGCAACACAACATCTTCACCGGAAAGAGAGGTAGATACATACAAAGGGGAATGCATCATATCACGCATTTCTAGACGTACTAATATTTAAACAACATTTTCTTTTGGAAATAAACATCAGAACAGGTGAATGGTGGGATTAATCAAGCAAAAACACGCAATTTGCTCCAATAACTAAGCAATGAAATGGAAGGTATGATACCGACGTATTCTTCTGCAAGACAAATGGCTAGAGTAGTGAGTGACAGTCCCCTTCTTCAAATGCATACATCCCTGTCGAACGCTTCAGGGTCTTCAGATAGTCTTCACTGCACCATATCCAGCAAAAGCGTCCACTAATGCTGATTTCGCTATAAAAACAACAGGAGTTTGTGATTACTGATTAGGACCGTGCTTAATTTCTTGAAACTAGGTTATTGCAATCCCTCGTGTGCAATGCGAGTTTTTTTTTTTTTGTCTGTCGACCTGAACTCTGAATTGAAGTATGTGCTTTGCTTGGCAGCTGCCTCGTGTAGCCGTCTGCTCTGAATGCATTGTGTAATGTGATTTGGTGATAAGCGGAGATCGCGCGTGCCTCGTATGGTAATTTGACACATGAGAGATTCAGGGAATTTTACGCCTTTTGCAACCCTGCGCCCTTGCCAGCTGATTGATAGACCGAAGGCATTCGGTTCCGGAGTTTCCTATGAAATTTACTCACATCTGCGCATATATATGCCGGCACGGCGCGCATTTGTGATTTGACTCCTTGAATTTGCTCAGAGACACATGATTCCTTTCAGCCCATAACCTAATCAAAGACTCCATTCGGAAATTTAGTTCACTAGAGACGCGTGAGAGAAAGTTAATTAAACGAGACTCTAATTTGGTCTTGTGCCTTTTGGCAGAGACCAAAGCCGTAAAACATTTTAAAAGTTTTACTGAATTTTTTCTTAAATTTCAAATATTCTTGACTGGAAAGAATAATATTCTACCATGGTGAGTACAAAAGATCTGTAAAAAAGAATAGCGAGTTGAAAAGGAGAAGTTTTTGTGATTAAGTTTTCACCTGATCTTATTAGCTGATGCCAGGACGAAGGGTTACCGATAGGTTTTCAAAAAAAGGGGACTTCCTGGGTTAGCTCGAAAACATAAATCACTTGGTTTTTTGGTCAAGCTCAAAAAAATTCAAAATAAATTTAAAGTTTTTGACAAAATTTGACTGGATTTTACTGAGAGCCAATAATTTTTACAAAACTGAAAAACCGTTGACCCCTATTTTTTGTTAAGGAATGGTTGGGTGAACCCTGCTGTCAGATTCTTATCCAACCTTGGCTAGCTTGTTTTTTTTTAAGATTTAGTACAATGTTGCAATACATATACGTTTAATAATTAGAACACATAAATGGTTTCAACTTTATAGTGTTGGTAGAATTATTTTGATTTGAAGCCACTATCAAAAAAATACCAATTACACACGTACATACATACATTAAAAAGTATTTGTATTACTAAAGGTTGTCTGTTTTTGGCACTATCAATGTATTGTTATGGAATCTTTTGAACGACTCGTGTTGTTATGGAATCAATCCAAAATAACCCATAGTCATAGTTTCAAAAAAAATAACCCATAGTCTTGTGGCAGTAGTGAAAGGAGACTAGTGCCAGTGTCTTCCTTATCATACAAGACCTTTTTTTTTCTCAGGTTCAGGTAATATCCAATTTAATCCTACAAGAAATACACAACTAGATTATGGCAAGTAAGCACGAGAAACCTTGGAATTATCTTGATCTCATAGCCAGTCCTCAAGGCTGCAGCCCTGCACCTAAGATTTTGAGGACCCTGTGCGAAGAAATACAAAATGAAGCCCTACGTACGGTTCGAGAAACACAAATAACCATAATGCATTTTGGTTCCATTATATAACTGCGTGTTTTTTTTTACATAACTGGGAAATATGATAGGCAATCACAATGATGAAGGGGTACGTAAACATTAATCGTACTCACCGATATCCTCGTAACTTCCAAAAATCATCATCCGTCTGGTATTTTTTCGAAATAAAATCTGCAATTATATAGTATATCCTTATATTTAATCTTCTCCAAAACATCAGTTTCAAGTGCAATTGTCGCTAATCCATTGAGTCTTTTTTTGTCACAGAATTACACAATAGGACTTTTTTGTTCTGCAGATGCAACGGTCACAGGAATAGTTAACTAAATTCTGTATGCAACAATGGCATTAGGAAACAGTCCATCCATCTCACGAACTTCAGAATGTCAAGA